GGGCCCTCTGGCATCCCAAGCGAGTTCTTAACCAACGCGCCACTCGGCCGGCCCAAAAGGATAACTTCTTAAAGAATCAAAATTAGTAATTATAAATAATATTTAAATATGGTCATTTTTTTATTTTCTCTGAAAAATGCTGGATCATATATGCTATAGAAAGTCAGATTGGATATATTTTATAAAAGTAAACTGTATAGTCAGCATAGTCATAGAGATTAAGGAAAATACTCTGTTTTGAACCACTCTGGACTCAAGTTTTTACCATCTACTTAGTTCAGATAATTCAAAATAATGTTAAAATGCCAGTAAATCATCTTTTCTCTGTGATAAGGTCTTTTTTGATTAATAGCTTTACTTTGATATCCTCAGAGGCATGGAATTTTCTCCCCAAGATTGTTATTTTGGTGGTTTTTTTTCCCATTGTATTCTGCAACTACACATAATAAAATGGCAGGCAAAGGAAATTTAATTATTTTTAAAATCACCAATTTTTCCTTTCTACAAGATAATACATACACACATTTAGTCCATTAACATATGCATTTACATAATTACTGCCTCTCATTTGATATTCCAAAATCTTAAAAATGGTATGCCAAAATCATTTTTCATTCTGTGTTTCTCAGGTAAGCTACAAAATTGTGTTGATTCCAAAGGGAGTCTTGACTAGAAGACTGAATTCACAGCTGGTTGGAAATTCATCCAATAAATATTTATTAATTACCTATTATATAATAAGCATGCTAGGTTCTGAGAATGCAACAATGATCAAAGACCCCACCCTCACGAAGTTTATATCCAGTAGGGATTATTTAAAGATATTTAAAAGTTTACCTGGATATTGTTGCATGTTGCTGATAAATAATATAGGCTTTTTATTATGAGTCCCAAATTGTAGTTAATAGGCACTAGTAGTATTCTGTATTCTTTATTGACTACTAAAAACAAAGTAAACTATTGTGCCTTGCTCTGGAACTGGTGACTTAGTACAGTGACATCTGAAGGCCACCAGAAGGTACTGTTCAGATTAGCCCGCTAGTAGCTCCAGCATGATCCTTGCTCGCCTCTTTAATGTCTAGCCTTATTTTTCACATTCCCTTGAGCTTCAGGTAGCCAAGTCCGGAAAGATATACCTGTCACTCATGTGACAAATTAGTAGCTTGTACTTGGGCTCTTGAAGTTTGGCAGTGACGGTTGACACATTGTTATCTGTTTTAAAATATTTCTAGGTTATGTTCTTCAATTTTCTGTTTCATTCTATAATTTCTTTCTTTGCCTTTCACATCAACTTCTAATTTGAGTTTAGAATGTTTCACAAAATGATCTCTGTAATTAATCTAATAAATACTATATAGAGAGAAGTTTTAGAATAAAAGGAATGCCAAATGACCCTTAAAAAGCCCAGATTCCTTTCCAGTTCCTATTTGTATGGTACAAGCAATAAAGATACTCATTTCAGAGTGGGCCCACCAAAAAAAAAAAAAAAAGGAAAGAAAAGAAAAGCCCAAATTCCTCTATTAAACCTGTTCTCTCGGCTTTACCCTTCCATACACTCATCTCCTGATAAACAGTATTTTGATATATACCTTTTATTCCAGGTGTTCACAAAGCCAGTTACTAAATAGTACAGCCTGATATTTTGAAATGGTTTTAAAACCCCACTCATATAATTTTTTATCAGATGTAGTATAAAATTATTTAGTACAGTGGAGATTGCTATTAAGAGCTTTTAGGGAATGCGTAATTGTTGATGTATTTATTGTCTAAATCTATAACTGCATTCAATAAGTTTCCACTATATTAAATGATTTACTTAAACCATGTTTTCTTCAGAAACTAAAACTTGCAAATACAGTCTTTTAAATTTAAATATATCGGCTTCATAAACTTAAAACAATCATCTAAAAGTATGGGGTGATTTTACAAATATAGATATTTTTATCTGAATATTTGAGTAAAAATAATACATTAAAAGACTAGTAAGGTTTTTTCTCATAATATTTCAAACAGTAGCTGACCAACTAAACATGTGTTGCACCTCTTGTTACTTGATGCTCATGGTTCTTTGCATGTGTCTTTTAAACTAGAGCTTTAACTTCCTCTTGTGCATGGTTTGTGCAAATTGCAGTTTATTAACTTGTCTTTGTCTTTGATGCTTGCAACCTAATCCATCACAGCTACACTTCCTCGAAAAGAAAGTGCTGTCAAACAGGAAACAGAGAGTGAGTATACTTAGTGTATTAGTAGGTATTTTCAATGCATGTTTGTTTAATGTCTAGAAATCAGTTATTTGTCTTGAAAAAGTTAAACCAAAAATATTGATTGTTCAGAGTTGTCAGGTATTGGTGAAAGAAAACCAACATGATGGTAGTGGTGTGGCTACAGCAAAGAAATATGTAACATAGTTAAAAATATACAGTGGGTAACCAGAAATTTATGAAAAGGCTTAACCATTACACTTCTGTTTTCAGGCTATGGTTAGAAACTATAAAAATTATTTTACATAGGGTCATATTTTACGTAATGAAACCAAAGTTTGTCTTTAATTGTCCTATTATACCTTCATTTGTCCCTTCTGACCTTCAGCAAATATACAGGTTAACTGAGAGATACTCAAGAAGAATAAAAGAATTTTAATTTGTTTATATTTAATTCTGAATAAAAATATCACATTTCCTTATAAAAATGGAATCTTTTAATTCCTTAATATATGTAGGATATTGTCCAGCCACATTGATCTAATTTTTCTTCATGGCTATGATGGACACCTATATTCATACCTAAACACAGATGCCCCAAATTAATATAGGTAATGATATGTTACATTTTGGTTGTATTTTAATATAACAAGTTTTCAGAGTTTTTTCTCTTCATTTTGTTTAGCTTTTAAAGAACTGTAGTTAATCAGTTACCTTAGTATAAAAACAGTCTCTGAGTTCAGGAATGTATTAAGTTGAGTTTTGTGCATTTGACCTTTTTGTAGGGCAAAAATGATCGAGAGTTGGCAGTTTCATATGGTTCAGCCTAATATGTGCAGGCTAGTAATATTGGGATATGGCAGTTTTCTTCAGAAATATAACAAAATTATATTAGGTAATACACTAGGGGGTCAGTGACCATCATATTCATGTGTTTTGAATAGGAAAGAAATCCTTATCTACTTTAGTCTAATAGAGATATCATCAGGCAACTTTATGTTTATGATGAGACTGGACAGGGCATAGATTGTGTGATCTTTAAGATCCCTTTCAGTCCTTCTCTATAGATCCGTGGAGTTTCAAGACTCCTTACAGCATGCCCAGGAATAGGACACAAATGTTAACGAAAGAAAAGGACACTCTACAGCCTGTCCTATGTGGTAGACTTGTGCCCTAACTAGAAAGAGCCCTGGAAGACCAAGACAGTGGAAGGTAACCCTGAGTGATGCTCTGAACCGTTTATTCCCGAAGGTCACGACTTTCAAAGTTTTATTATTTCTAGGTCTTCATGGAAGTTCTGGGAAATTAACTGGATCTACTTCTAGTCTAAATAAACTCAGTGTTCAGAGTTCAGGAAATCGCAGATCTCAGTCGTCTTCCTTGCTGGATATGGGAAACATGTCTGCCTCTGATCTCGATGTTGCCGACAGAACCAAATTTGATAAGGTAAATAAAATAACAGGTATTTCTTAAACATTAATATTAGTTTCCTAACAGCAGTTCATTATTGGTTTAAGTGTGTTCAAAGATTTATTCTCTGTCAATTAACCACATATTACTTTCCAATTCTGAATCTTAAAAAAATGCTAGTCAAATGGCAAGTAAAGTGTGAATTTCAATTACATGGCATTATAGCTTTATTAAAATTTGTTAGAAATCATAAAATACTTGTATCTCAAATCTAATTCTTTGAGCAGCTGCAAAGTAAAGAGGAAATAACAGCTTTTGTGAAGCTAAACTGTTCTCTGTGATGCATTAAATAAGCTTAAAAAGTTTATCTCTGTGTTCCTCTTTCCAGATTTCAAGTGAATAATTGTTGTGAGTTTTATTTTAGGTACGTTCTGGCTTGATAATACTGCTTTGTCCTGTCAATCTTGGAAGAGTTTGTTTTGGGGATTCCATTGTGATTATGGATAAAGCATTTATGGTCCCTGCATAAAAGTGAATTAAATGTGAAATGTTATTTTAATTATTTGGTACAGTTCTTTCATTTTAGTCTTCTTCAGATCTTTGAACAGGTACTAAGTGAACTGGAGCCCCTGTGTCTAGCAGAACAGGACTTCATAAGTAAATTTTTCAAACTACAGCAACATCAGAGTATGCCTGGAACTATGGTATGCCTCATATTTATTTTATTGGCTAGTATTTATGATCTGTGGCATAATTAGCCTGATGAATATGTTGTCACAATTTCAATATCAGATCAGAAAATGAAAGAATTAATGATGTAAGGACTTTTAAAATAATTTTGTCATACCACAAGATAATAAAAACAGTGATAGTTAGAATTTGTGCATCTAATTTAATATTCCAGACTGCCTTAGGCCTAAACATTCTCTAAATTACTGAGGCAGGGAGGGGAATGTCTGAATTTACTTTGCAAAAAAAAAAAATGTATTTAAAAAGCTATTTTGGCATTATTTTAGTAGTCGGCAAGAAAAAATATAATTTTTCCCAAAAAATATGTTTGATGTTTGAGTGTATATACCATGGTCTAGCAAAAAGAAAAAGAAAAACAAAGAGAGGGAAAGAAGGGTGAGGGCTTAAATCTTTCTATGATTTTGTTAATAACTAGATATGAGACCTTAAACCAATTATTTAATTCCCAGTTTCCTCATCTGTGCAGTGGATAGAGTAATGCCCATTCAGTATTCCTCTCAGGTGGCAAAAATATAAAAAAATAAAATGAAAAATTTGCTACAATATTTTAAAGGACTTAAAAGGTTCAATACAAATAAAGCAATTTTAAAATTTAAGGTCATCTTTAAAAAGAGAACCAACATATAAAAAGCAGTCATAAAATGAATGAGAAAATTATCTCAAATGGTTGAGGACATGTTGTAGATGGTGGTGGTAGTAAATTTTCTTACTTCCTAGCTTCTGTAAGAATTTTTTTTTTTTAAGATTTTTATTGGGGTATTGGGAGGAAGGGAACAGTGCTGGGGAATTGGGGGAAGGGGAACAGACAAATTGCTGTCGTTTTGTTCTTCAGTCTAGTTGTGGAGGATGTTGCTTCATTGGCCCAAGCTGGCACCATCATTGCGCTCTTCCCGGGCAAGGCAGATCAGTCGCTGGCTTCTGGACGGCCGCTCACTGTGGCTGCTGGCCGCTCACGCTGGCTGCTGGCTACACACGGTAGCCCATGGCAACCCACTGCCACAGGTCTGCAGCCTATGCCGTCGCCGGCGACTCACAGCAGCCCAGCTCCAGGTTGAGCATCTTAGCTGTGGAGGGCAGTGTCACTGGCCCTCATATGTGGGATCCGAACCGGGGTCCTCTGGCGTCCCAAACCAGTTCTTAACCCTCGCGCCACTCGGCCGGCCCAAGAATTTTTGATAGCATTTTTTAAATGGCAAAGTTTTAGCATGATTACTGAGATTTCTTTAATTTTTAAAATTCTCTATTGAAAGTTGTTTCTCGATATTGTCTGTTTTTTGTTGAGCTGCCCTCCCATTCCCACCTCCCTGCCAGGCTCCTGTACCTTCTCTCTCCCCACTTTCCCTTCATGTGCACACATACAAACACAGCTTCTCACCCCCCAATAATTCTCTGATAAAATCTAAGAACAAAGCATTTCATGAAAATTCTTAAATAGCATACTAAATTATATCGTTTTATCGGTAATACTACCTTTAAAATCATTATTTTTCATAATGTAGTCTCTCCTAGGCATTATAAGACTGAGCAGGCTTTTGCTATATAAACTAGTCAAATTGTTGGTCTTTTATTATGTAAAGTACCTGAATAATTTTTACAGACTGAAGCAGATGACCTTGATGGAGGAGGATTATCACGGCCACATAATTCAGGCACACCACTGCCTGTTTCATCTGAGTATGTGTTTGCTACTGTCTATTGTTTATTTGGGGGGAAAAATAAACTTCACATTGAGCATAGAGGAGTGCAGCTCAGTGAGTCCAGATGGCTCTCAGTAACCTGACAGCCCGCAGAGCACCGACGTGTGCATCCAGTGTCCCACTGAACATCTTACTGAATTAAAATAGGTCCTGTTGGGTGACTCTACAGCTCTTTGCTCTAGTCATCACAAAAAAATGCAATCAATTTTGAGGCTTGCTGGTGGGAAATAGCATTTGAATTGCCATGTATTTCTTGGAAATCACAAAGCACATTTCAGGATCCTCCTTTACAAATGACAGTTATTTGGAGTGATAAAACTTAACTTCAGAAAATATGTTTATATGGGAAACCAGTGTAGAATAATTAGTTCATCGTATTCGGACTTTTATAAATGGAAATATCATATGTTAATCATTTTGTATATATATAGTGGATTAAAGTTAAAGATGAATACGCTTGAAGCTTGTAATTACTATATTTTGTATGTTTTCTGAACAGGAAAGATATGATCCGCCAAATGATGACTAAAATATTTCGCTGCATTGAGCCAGAATTGAACAACCTAATTGCATTAGGAGATAAAATTGATAGCTTCAATTCCCTTTACATGCTGGTCAAAATGAGTCATCATGTGTGGACTGCACAAAATGTGGACCCTGCTTCTTTTCTGAGCACTACATTGGGAAATGTTTTGGTGACTATCAAAAGGAACTTTGACAAATGCATTGTAAGTTTAAAAAAAAAAACAAGCCCTTAGAATTCTAGTCATTGCAAAAAATAGGTAAATGTATTTAAATCAAGAGATTTCCAGCTTTGCTGTGGGAGACCTACTGTTCCCATCCCCCAAAGCCTTGAAGCAGGGTGTTGACTAGAACGTATGTGAACAGAGGTGGGTGGGTGATACTGTGCCATTTAGCGTCCCTTCTACATTGTGAATCTTGGCAAGTTCTGCAGTAGGTGGCATAGAGACTGCAGCTGCTTAAGAGATCTACTAGATAAATCTCAGTTAATTGATTAGTGACCATAGATTTAATGAAACAATTGAAACTATCTTTTGGATTTATTTTTGTTCTTCTTTTAATATACTCTAATAGGAAAGTTAATAATTAGATTATTTTAATTGTTTAAACTATTTAATTTGTTTATGTTTAATAGCTTTAATTAATAATATTGCTTTATTTTAAGACTTTTTTTATAATAACTTCCAGCAATCATCATTTTCCTCCTTCTAATAGGAAAAGAAAATCATTAACAACTTTATTTTTGTCCATTAGGTTTTGGTAAGCTTGTTAGGTATGAATTGGGCTGGGCCATGTTCTAAAAAAGTTTTTTGTTTTTTTTAATTAACGTACTTAGTATGTAAAAGTAGATATGTATCTTGAATATTATTTATCTTATGTAACCTTTAAGTTATATTTAGCTCTTGAACATCCATAGAATAATGGTAGATAAAAATATTAAGGGCAATTAAAACCCATGTCATTTTTTATACTTTTCAAAAAATAAAACTTATTGAGTGTTTGAAAGAAAAAAAGCAACCTATGTCCACTATAGAAACTTAAATGTCACCTCAATAGGCTTGTTAACCTTCCTTCACTACCAAATGATTTCACTTGGTACTTGAAATACCATGAAATTTGACCATTTAAGAGTTATCTTCTTCCCTCCCCCACCTTCTCCAAGGATGATGATAAACCTGGAAGGTCAGACAAGCTTATAGCCAAAAGAAAAAGGAAGAGCTACCAAAGACTAAGATGAATCCAACGTGACATAGCTGAAACACTAAATCATGAGGACACTATACATTTCCAGAATATGAAGGCTTTGTTGCTTTTATCAGTAAAATATAACTTTATATAATACCTCTCAACCCAGTAGAACATGATTGTTAAAAGCATAGGGATGTAAGGGCTGGCCAAGCGGCTCAGTTGGTTAAGAGCTCGCTCAAGTGTGCGAGCTCTGAGCAACAGCAGTTCGAGTCCCAGCCCGAGCTGAGCTGCCACTGAGCTGCCAACAGGTGGCAGGATGGCTCAGCTTAAAAAAAAAGCACAAAAAAAAAAAAAGCATAGGGATGTAGTGTCAAGTAGATATAGACGTGGGTTCAAATTAAGTACTTAGCACATTGCCTGGCACAAAATAAGAGCTTACTAACTGATAGCTCATAATGGTGGTGGTTGTGGTGGTGGTGGTGATAGTAATAGTAATAGTAATTAATAATAGTTGACTAAAGAATATTCATGTTACCCTCAAGACAGGGCACTGGAGAAACAAAGTAAAATTAACCTAGACAAAGGTATAAATTCATATTTTCTTGTAAATTGTGTGTATTCCGTGGATCTACCTTTTGTCACTAAAGGGAAGGATGGTCTCTTCTGCCTGTCATTCTTGTCTCTTATTTTAACTCACATCTTCTCACAGTGTCTGGTAGATTGTGTGTGCTCAGTAAGTGTTATATGCTTTGGTATTTGGGACAAGATCAGGACCTAGGACATACCTTGAAAAGTAGTGAATAGGTCTGTGTGTCTTGAGCCAAAAGTATGAATGTCAGATGGCTGCAGAAAATGAAAGAGAGAGTGCCTGAGTTTGACTCTCATCTGGTGGCCAAGCCAGAAGTGTCTGGTATTCTTCAGGGAACAGGGCTAAAACAGCTAGCCTAGCCCAAGATAGAGCTAAAATTAGAAAGTAATGGACACATCAAGTACTACCAACCCGGACCCTGCAGTCCAGTATAGTATTTCTTAAGTACACTTAATTTGCTTTTCAGGATTCCTCACACTATAGGGATGTGGATTTGTACGTACTCTTAAACCTTTGAAAATGATATGGTTTGGTTAAATTGCCATGGACAAAAAGATGGACAAGTAATATAGTGATATGTGGCTAGCATCAAAGTTGTAGTTTTAAACACTGAATAACATCCACGTCCTTATGGTGATGGCAGTATGATTTGGCAGATCAGCTGGAAATTTACTTTTGTCAGATATAGTTTGCTGATGGCTCTTTTTCAAATGAGCCATTTACTGGTTACAAAGCCAGAGAAGACAGCTGTCATTTAGAACATTTCCTATTAATATTCATGTATATGCAGACTATAATTATATCCTGTGCATTTAAATGACACAAAACAACAATCTTCATGTAGCTTAATACCAATAGACCGGCATTCACAAATCCGTGCTTACTGTGTACGAGGCACTGGTCTAGCACTTTGTACACATATCTCATCTCATCCTCACAATCTCCTCCCTCCCACAAAAGGTAGATGCTCTGAGAGGCTATGTTACTTTCCCCAGGTCAACAGCTAAAAAGTAATGGAGCTAGCATTCATATCCCCGACAGCCGGGTTCCACTGCCTTCTCTACAGCATCCATTTTTCCTCCTCACAGTAACCAATACTGATGAAGTGGAATGGTTGTAAAGATAATACGAAATGGTTGACAGTACTCACAGGGCTTTCTTATACTAATACCTGTAGCCTAAATAATTCCTTTTCTAATCCACGTGTCATATGGTTTTCAGGTTATACCCCGAAAATCTGAACACAATGAAATTTTAGGTAGAAGTTGAAAATGATCCCACAGTGTTTGGCAGTGTAATTCTTACAGCTAATAGATCTAAACCCCCTGAGAAGTACACAGAACCATAATTGAATCCATGGATCTGTTTGAACCCAAATGTCTAGATTCTGTCTACACAAAACATCCCTTTTGCACTGTCACTGTCATGCACAACCATTTTGCTGAAGTAATTTAGAATAAGTAATGAATAAATAGGTGCATGGAAGACAATGCAATGCAAATCCATAGTAGAAATGCCTGTTCTCCCTCTCTGTTCTCACACCCAAAAATACAGAACTTGTCTATCCAAACATTTTAGGCTCGTGAGAATTGGAAATGTCTGTGGTTCTCAAACATTGCCATGTGGCCACCAACCAGAAGTGACCTGGAGAGGCCCTGTGTGTGTGCTTCTCAGCTGTGCCCCAAAATGGGCAATTGCCTTGTATTTATCTTTCATAATTGATAAAAATGTTTATTGGTTGTTTTTACTTTGGACAAAGACAAGGTTCACAGATCTTGATTACTTCTTGTTTAAAATAATTTGGATTTTTTTTCCCATGATTTAATTTTCTTAAATATATGTATTTTTTAATGTATAGGAGTAGTTTTTCTTAGTTTTCACTATTGTATTAATCTTTAATTAGTAAACATCTAGAATGTTCTAGATACTAAATTCTGTCCTCCTATGATATATATACATTTGGTTGTAATTACATGTGGTTTTTAAGTTGCTCAGCTATTTCTCTCCCTCGCTTTCTGCCTAACTTTAGAGTAATCAAATAAGGCAAATGGAAGAAGTAAAGATCTCAAAGAAGAGTAAAGTAGGAATTCTTCCATTTGTTGCTGAATTTGAAGAATTTGCTGGACTTGCAGAATCAATCTTTAAAAATGCTGAGCGTCGTGGAGATCTAGATAAAGCATATACTAAACTTATCAGAGGAGTATTTGTTAATGGTAAGCTTTTGAATTTTTTGGCTGGTTGTTTTTATTATTTCTTGTATCTTGGAAGTTGGGAGGCATATGTGTTTATTATTTTTCATACTCTAAAGTCTTTTTTAAGTGTTCAGAAATTAAAGATTTCTTAAATTTGAAAAACAAGCAGGTATAAAACCCATTCATAATTATCAGGAACCACTTATATTTTAGAGTTCATATGGGCTTATTACTATCCAAAATTTAATTCATTTTTTTAAACACAAAAATGACCTTGCAGATTATATTTGTATTTTATTTTAGCAAGAGTCTTCTGGAGATGCTAGGCTGTGATGCCTGTGTAACCATAAGCAAATCAATTCACTTCTTTAGGCCTCAGTTTTCATATCTGTCACATGAAGTAGATTAATGCTAAAATACTATAATTCACTGTCTTCCTGTGTCACATACCACAATTAAGTTACAGAAACAGCATTGATGTGTCATTTAATTTGAAATAAATGATCTGATTGCATATATTCAGGAATTTTAAAAGCTAAAAAAATGACAGGAAGTGGAATTATCTCACCAATTTACATGTAACATACTTTCAGTGGCAGCAGGTCTAAGGGATAGATAAATTACATGATTGAATGTTTGTATGATTAATATTTCTTTTAAAATTCAAAGTAGCTTTGCTTTTTCTGATTGTAACATAACATATACTCATTTTACAACCCCAAAAATCAGAAAACAGATTTTTAAAATCAGGTAATTTATAATCTCATCATGCAGAGATAACATTTAATTTTTATCCTACCAAACTTTTCAATATGTCTCTCTCTCTCTTTAAATGTGCATATTATATGTGTATGTTCTCTAATATAAAATTTTTATCATACCTCACACACCATTTTGGAACCTGCTAGACTATAATCCAAGTCTTATCAATGAATATAGATAATCATAATCATTTTTAATGATTGCATTGTATTCCATGCATCATTATTTATTTACCAAATCTTCTATTAATAGTAGGCTTTTAGTTTGTTTCCAGTTTCTTGCATATATTTTTGTATACCTGTCCAATAACTTCCTTAGGGTAAATTACTAGAAATGGAATTACTGGGTTAAAAGGTTTGTGTATATCTCAAGGCTTTTGCCAAATTGCCATACAGAGAGGTAATACCAGTTCAGTGCTATGAGCAGTTGGTGAAAGTTTCTATCACATCCGCATCAGTGCTGAAGATTACTAGGTATTATCAATCATTTTAATCTTTGTCAGCCTAGCAGGCTGAAAATTTATTTTGCTTTTGGTATGTTTTTTCATGCAAGAGCTTTCAAATTTTATGTCAAATTTATCTACCTTTCCCTTTATGACTTCTAAGTTGTGGACCATTTGGAGAAAGGTTATACTATCACAAAATTATTTTTTAATTAGCTTTATTTTTCCTTAGTACTTATGATTGTATTTATTTATTTATTTGCTATTTAAGTACTCGAGCAATTTAGAATTTGTTTCGCTGAAAGATGTGAAATAGGAATCCAAATTTAATGTATTCAAAAGGACCAGCTGGTTTTCCTAACACATTCTGAATAATTCATCATTTTCCCCACTGATTTGAAAAGCCGCCTTTATTATGTACTAAGTTTTCATATATATATGTATGTGTATATATATATATATATGTGTGTGTGTGTGTGTATATTTTATATATATATATATATATATATATATATATATATATGCAACCGTTTTAGACTGATTTTTTTTAATTACGTTTAGGTGGATCTAAAGTCCAGTAATGCGCTTACTTCTTAAACTTGAAAATGAAAAAGATCATGGAAATATTTTTATAGCTAAATATGGCCATGCTTATATTACGGTGTTATTATATTTTCTTCTGTTTTGATTTAGTGGAAAAAGTAGCAAATGAAAGCCAGAAGACCCCTAGAGATGTAGTGATGATGGAAAACTTTCACCATATTTTTGCAACACTTTCTCGTTTGAAAATCTCATGTCTAGAGGCTGAAAAGAAAGAAGCCAAACAAAAATACACAGATCACCTTCAGTCTTATGTGATTTACTCTTTAGGACAACCTCTTGAAAAACTAAATGTAAGTATATTTTCATTTAGCATATTTTCCCTGGTTTTGAACACATATACAAATGTTCATATATGAATAACACAACAGACATTGATCCTAAATTTGCTCATGTATGATGCAGGAGGATAGGGAAGGAGGGACTCAGTTACTAAAGCTGCCAGTGTGCCAAGACACTGCTAAGTGCTCTGTGTGCATTGTTTTTTTAAGTTCTTGTAAACAGTGATGGGTTAAGATAATATCCCTGTTTTACGAATGAAGAAACTGCAAGTAAGAGAATGTGCTTGAAGTTGTAACTGGCAAGTAGCAAAGCCAGGGGATGAACCCTGGATTAGGCTTTTCCATTATAGCAGACTTTCTGTTTTCTTACCTCATAAATGGCCAATCTTTATCCCTAGTTCAGAAGAAGATTTTGAAACTTTATCAAGATAAAAGAAAAACCAAAAATTGTTTTGTTCATTGCACTTTCCTTTTCTAACTTGAATGATTGCCCAGAGCAAGTCCAGTCATTAAAATTAAGAAATGATGGTTTTAGAAAACTTTGCAACATAGTATAGTAAGTCTTCTAATAACGTTGTTTCATTCAATGTGGTTTTGTTGTAACATTGATGAGATGCCAGGAATTTAACTTTTGTTTATGTCACTCAGACTATGGTAAAAATGGTTTTCATTAGGCACTGTTTCACTTAACCGCAGAACCTATCCATGACATGAAGACTTACTGTAGATGCATAAATGGACTCTTCAAACAGACTTTGTCCACAATGTGATTAGTCATGTATATAAGTTTTTAACTTGAAATTTGAGTGAAATAAAAAATATGTATGTGTCAATAATTCAGAGAAATGTATAAAAGACATTTAATCAAATGCAGAACCAATTCTTTATAAAACTTAAGGTCAGATATTCCTTTAGGATAAAAGGTCTGTCTGAGCCCTAAAGTTATATGATACTTAATTGTAACATCAGAGTCATTCCTTTTGAAATCAAATTTAAACCAGAAACGTTGCTAGATCCTTTATTTAACATTGTTATGGAAGCTCTAGGCAATGTAATAAGACCTAAAACATAAATAAGAGATATAGAAAAGAGCCAAAATTATAATTATCTCTATATAATATGCTGAAATTATTCGTCTCTGGTAAAGTGTTAGGATTCAAATTAAATATATCCAAAAACAATTTATTTCCTGTGTGTCATAGTAAACAATTATAAGTTTGTATTAAAACAAAAATTTTGAATCTCTAGAAATAGACTTGTCAAAAAAATTACCAAAAAGAAAAGTTAATGAAGAATAAACAAATAACACTTGCTAAGAAATGAGAAGGGATTTGGCTTGTCAGTATTAAATCATTGTATAGTGCTCAAATAAAGGCATTCCAATCAATAAAACTGCATATTAAGAAAACAAATAAACTACCCATATAAATGATGTATTACAGAATTGTACACCTGAAACCTACGTAACTTTACTAACAATTGTCACCCCAATAAACTTTAATTAAAACAAACAAAAACAAACTGTTGTCTGTGTCTATAGTGATGGAAGGAGAACTGACTCTGGGTAGTGAACATACAACATAATATATAGATGATATATTATAGAAATGTACACTTGAAACCTATATAATTTTACTAACCAATGTCACCCCAATAAATTTAATAAAAAAAACCAAGACCCCCCCAAATATATATATATAAGTACATTTTCTATATATAAACATATATAATATATATATTCTTAAAAAACAACCTGAGAAGAATATTTGTACCAATACAATAGTACATTTAATATAAAAGATCTTTTTAAAATCAATAAGAAAAGCACTAATATCTTAATTTATAAATAGGCAAGGGTTCTGAATATACTACTAAACATACAAAAAGCAGGTTAACTTCATTTGTAGCCCAAAATTGTGAAATAAAACAACAAATAAATCTCTTACTCATTAAAATGGCAATGATTATTTTTTAATTGGGATAATGCTGATGATAGTATATATGATAAGATAGTAGTCTCATATACTGTTGACAGAAATATAAATTGATTGAACTCTTCTTGGAAGCAATTTGTATATATGAAGAATCCTCAGAATATATACTCCTCAACTGAGGAATTACAGTCTTAGAAATATATGCTGGAAAGTAATGTGGGTAAATACTTATGTACAAAAGATATTTATGGCAATTGTATTTATAATAGATTTTTTTTTTAATCTGAATAGATTTTGCCAAGTGAAAAATATTAAATATCCAATACTGGAGCAATGAATAAATAAATTGTAGTTCAGTCATTGGATAGAATATAATGCAGTCATTAAAATTTATACTTTGAAAAAAACCAAAATATTAAATGGAAAATACAACATAGAAAATTATAATCTCATTTACATACTCACACATCAAAAGACTAGAAGGACACGTGAAATGTTAACTGTGGATATCTGAGTAGTATAATAGATCATTGTTATTTTATCATGACTGTTATTTTATCCTTTATACTTTTACACATTATTTAGTTTTTACATAGTGAATATATATACTATTTTATAGTCAGATTTTTTTTTTAATTTAAATGAAAATAAAAGCTCTTCTTAGCCATTATATCTTTTCATTTCTTTGAAGCATTTCTTTGAAGGTGTTGAAGCTCGTGTAGCACAGGGAATAAGAGAGGAGGAAGTAAGCTATCAGCTTGCATTTAACAAACAAGAACTTCGTAAAGTTATTAAAGAGTATCCTGGAAAGGAAGTGAAGAAAGGTCTAGATAACCTCTACAAGAAGGTTGATAAACATTTGTGCGAAGAGGAGAACTTACTTCAGGTATGCTTAGTTCTTTTAACTATCCTAGATTGAACATCTTTACATATATTGCTTTTTCACAAAATATTCCTCTAGAAATGCTACAGGTTTTCTAATTTTAGTGCAGGATGTATAGACTAGATTAATGAATTCTGAGGAAGAAAGGAATAATATTTATATAAGTTTATATGGCTATTCCTGTTTATTGTATATTGCTATTTTATTTATTTATTAAGTTGCTCTTCTTTTGTTTGAGGATGAGTTTTGTTTTGTTTTGTTTTGTTTAGAACTGAGGGGAGTAAGTAAATGGAATATAATAGTATAGTACAGGGTACTGATTCTCATCATGGGGGTTGGAGTTAGAAATGGGTTCATAATCTGGATCCAGATTAAGCTGCATGACTTTGGGCAAGTTAGTTAACCTTTCTGAGCCTCAATTTCATTATTTGAAACGTGGAAATAATACCTTTCTGGTGCAGTAGACACTACTATTGTCATTGCCATGTTATAGATGAGAAAATCAAACCTTAGAGAGGTGGAGTAGTAAGACCAAGATCCCATAGCTAATGGATGGTAGAGCCAGATTTAAACCCCATATTGAGCCATTATCCTTTATAAACCTTTATATATGAAAAGGCCCAGAGTAAGTGAGAATAATTCTGATTTCAGCATCATCAAAGCCTTTTGGTGGGATGTTACATTTGTGTTAGCCTCTGAAAGTCAGATAGTAATTTAACAGATAAAGTAGGAGGAGAGGTATTCCAGGTGGAAGAAATACCATTAAAAGATGAAAAGCAAAAAAAATGTAATACTGTTTAGGCTTAACTTGACAGGAATTTTGGATTTGTAAAGTTTGGGGTTTACTAGGAAAAATCCTGGAAAAATACATTCCTTCAACTGTTAGATAGGGATAATGATTGTAGTACCCTACCTCACCAGGTTGTCATGAGACTTAGATAAGATAATATACACATAAAACACTTTGTACTGTGCTGATACAGGTAAACGTCAATAAATGTCACCTATTAGTATTAGCTAATATGTTAGTGTATGTATCAGATTCTGTCTTAATGGCTGTCTGCATATTTCCACTGCGAGATTACAGATAACCCGTCTGTCTCATCTTGGTGTCTGCCATGGCATCAAGCAGTGTTTTGCATCATCAATTTTTGATGAAGAAATTTTTAAACTTTCGTTTGAAATAAAATTTAAGCATTAACTATTACATTTCATTTAATCACTAGTCTTAGTTCCATGCATAATTGTGCATCTCCACATCTGTGTCAGATATTGTAGTAGATATAATAATAGCTAAAATGTAGTGAGTGCTTACTGTGTCACACACTGTTCTATGCACTTTACATACATTCACTCATTTAATCCTCACAAGAAACTTATGAGGAAGGTATTACTACCCCAGTTTATAGATGAGGAACTGGAGGTATGGAGTGGTGATGTAACATACTCGAGGTTAGCATATTAGTAGGAGCTATGATGCATGTTTTTAACAATTACACTCTGCTAAATTCTTAGAATATATCTTGATATCATTTCTACGTATTGATTATGTATCATTTCCATTCATCATTTAATGACTTATTTTCATTTTTATAATAGGTGGTGTGGCACTCTATGCAAGATGAATTTATACGCCAATACAAGCACTTTGAAGGTTTGATAGCTCGTTGTTATCCTGGATCTGGTGTTACAATGGAATTCACTATTCAGGACATTCTGGATTATTGCTCCAGCATTGCACAGTCCCACTAAACCTTATGAAAGAAAAAAGCACTCCAAGTCTACCAGACACTATTCAAAAATATCAGCAACTATTTTGAGAACCCAAACTTGAAATTTTATGTAGTATTAAATGTCAGATAATGGATAACACCATAATACAAACATTCAAAAGCAAAAATACCAACTTATGTAGCAGTTGTATTTGACCAGTAAGGTATGTACTAAGTTTTTATCTCATAAGCATTTATCTCTATCATGAAATGCCCATAGCATTTTTCTGTGACTGAACAGGAAATTTTCCTTTATTGCCTAACTTCTTGTATTTGTGAGTGGTTATTCTCTGAGTAATGCAGTAGGAGTTTGTCAGCTTCATCTAACTACTAAAACATTGTACAGAATTTTTCCCCCTGCCTAGCTAATATATATATATATATATGGATAAGGGATCTTGTGATGATCAGTTGTAAACTTGGATTTTGAGGATTATATGACTATTTAGCAATGATTCTGAAATAAAGAAATTTTCAAAAAAAGTCAAAATTTGATATCATTCTTAGATCTGTTATATGCTTAACAGATCAGTACACAAAGTTCTTATAAAATCAATACACAAAAATTAACTACATGTCCATTTACTATAAAACACTTAGAAGTGTAGTAAGATAATGAGAAAAAAATCATTTGTAATAGCATAAAATATTTAGCATTTAGGACTAAGTCTAATAAAACATGTTATGAACTGAATTGTGTCCCCCTTGAAATTCATATGCAGAAGCCTGCCCCCGCCAATGTGACTGTATTAGAGATAGGGCCTTTAAGGATAATTAGGTTAAATGATGTCGTAAGGGTAGAGTCCTGATCCAATATAATTGGTGCCCTTATGACATTTGAGGACCCAGGAAGGAGGCAGCCATATGCAAGCCAGGAAGAGTTCCCACCAGAACCCAGGATGCTGGCACCCTAATCTTGGCCTTTTAGCCTCCAAAACTGACAAAATAAATTTCTGTTGTTTAAGGCACTTAAGCCATGGCATTTTGTTATGGCAACCTGAGCTGACTAATTATTATAATCAGATGTACAAGAACTTTATGGAAAAAATTATAAACTATAATATTAAAGAAGGCTTAAATGAGTAAAGGAATATTTCATGTTTCCAGATAAAAAAACATAACAGTAGACATGGCAGTTATTCCCACATTTAAATATTCAGTGCAGACTTCTGTTTCCAGTTCAGCACATATGCTTGAAAGTCGTCTCTCCATCCTAACAAAAATCTGAACAAAATGAAAATCAGCTATTCTTAGATCTGTAAGAGAAGTGAGGTCACAAGGCAAACCACTGCCACATTGGAGAGACCAACAGAAGAATATAGAAAGAAATGACCATCAGAGCAGAAACCCACAATCTGAACTGGCCCATAGAACCAGTGCTAAGGTAGGAAAAACTGATGAACTGTAATTGACAAATTGCTGGAGGCTGTGTGTGAATAAGTCTGAGAAATAAAAACTCCAGGGACACCAGGCCATTGTCCCAACCACCCCCTGCCACTTTTTGAGTTTTGCATTCTGTAGCTCTTCCAGGTCTTACAGTGAATATGAAGAGAAAAATCTTCTATGCTTCTGGCAGGGGGAGGGCAAAGGAACCATTTTGAAATATGCTGGAGTATTCTGTTCTTAACAAATTCTGCCCTCAGGAGAAACAATTTAACTAGAGCCTAACTGACCTGGGAGAACGGAAATACACAACTCCAGCAGGCTCCAGCCTTCTACATGGAGGAAGGGAAATAAATACCCAACTTCAGGACACTCCAGTTATCCTTTCCCAACTAAAATGGGTAAGGGGACTGTAAAGCACAGGTGAAGTTCACAGTCCAGAGGTTCAGGCTCATTATAAGACTGAGTACACTTCATTGGACTGTAGAGCACTTCTCCTCCCCCTGTAATTTACCACGATTCCTAAAGGCCTATTCTACAGCAGTTCATTTTACCCAGTACATCATGTCCAGCTCAAGAAAAAAATTAGGCACACTAAAAGTAAAAAAAAAAACACACAAAAAAACCAGTCTGAAGAGACAAAAGGAATCATCAGAACAAGACTCAGATATGGCAGGGATTTTGGAATTATCAGACCATGAATTTAAAACAACTATAATATCCTAAGCACTATAATGGATAAAGCATGAACAGATGGGCAATGTTAGCAGAGAGATGGAAATTTTAAAAACCAAAAGAAAATGCTGAAGGACAAAAACACTGTAATAGAAATGAAGAATGCCTTTGATGGGTTTATTAATAGACTGGTCATGGCTGAGGGATAAATAATGTCTAAGCTGGAGGATATATCAATAAAAAGCTCCAAAACCAAAAGCATAGAGAAGACCAAGAGAGGGAGAGGGAGAGGGAGGAGGAGGAGGAGGAAGGAGGAGGAAGAAGAAGAAGAAGAAGAAAGAAAACAATATATAAGGACCGTAGGATATAACATGCATGTAATGTGAATACCTGAAGGAGAAGAAAGAAAGGAATAGAAGAAATATATGAGACAATAATGACTGGGAATTTTCCCAAGTTAATATCTGACACCAAACCGCAGATCCAGGGAGCTCAGAGAAAGACAAGCAAAGTGAATGCCAGCAAAACTACACCTATGCATATCATTTTTAAGCTACAAAAAAACAAAGATAAAAAAATCCTGAAAGAAGCCAGAGGTAAAAAAACGCCTTGCCTATAGAGGAAGAAAGATAAAAATTATATCTGACTTCTCTGAAATAATGCAAGCAAGACGTGAATGGAGTAAAATATTTACAGTATTCATTGGGAGAAAAAAGCCACCAACCTAGAATTCCATACCCTGCAAAATTATCCTCCAAAAGTGAAGGAGAGATAAAGATTCTTAGACAAACAAAAGCCAAGGGAATTTGTTGCCGATAGACCTGCCTTGCAAGAAATGTTGAGAACTTTAGGGGGAAGAAAAATGATATATGTCAGAAACTCAGATCTACAAAAAGAAAGGGAGAGCATCAGAGAAGGAATAAATGAAGGTAAAATAAAAACTTTATTTTTCTTAATTTATCTAACAGATAACAGTTTGTTCAAAATAATAATAGTGACAATGTATTCAATTATGCATATATGTGTACTTATGTATGCTTATGTATAAGTGAAATGAGATGAGAGATGAAAGAGAAATTTGGATTATTTTTATAAAGTACTCTTATTCAAGAAACAGTATAGACTTAGATCAGTTGTAAATGTATATTGCAAATTCTAGGGCAACCACTTTAAAAAGTTTAGAAAGAAGTAGAACTGATATGCTAAGAAAGGAGAGAAAATGGAATGATAAAATGCTCAGTTAAAACCAGGAAAAAAGAAAAAGAAAGCCAAGAACAAAGAACAAGAACAAATAGAAAACAGTATCAAATATGGTAGCTATTAATCCAAGTAGTATTTCAAAATTTATTTTGAATGTCAGTGGTCTAAAAGCACCAATTGAAAGATAGGTTGTCAGAGTGAATCAAAAAACAACACCCAACTATATGTTGCCTATAAGAACCCACTTTCTTTTTCTTTCTATTTTTATTTTTTAATTATTTTTCAATTACAGTTGACATACAATATATTAATTTCAGGTGTTTGACAATGATTAACATTTATATAACTTATGAAGTGATCACCCCAATAAATCTAGTACTCACCTGACACCATGCATATTTATTACAATATTATTGACTGTATTCCCTATGCTGTACTTTACATTCCCATGACTATTTTTATAACGCAACTTGCACATCTAATCCTTTCTCCTTTTTCACCCATCCCCCAACCCCCTATCTCGTCTCCCCTGCTTAAACTGCAAGTTTTATGACTAGGATCAAGACTGTTCAGTCTACCAGTATCTACCTATCTAGGACATGTAAGTACTCAATGAATACTGAGTTTAAAAAGTAAAAAGTGTCCAGTCAGAATAGCTATCATCAATAAATCAACAAACAACAAGTGCTGGTGAGGCTGTGGAGAAAAGGGAACCCTGGTGCACTGTTGGTGGGACTGCAGATTGGTGAAGCCATTATGGAAATCAGTATGA